CACAAGGCATAGCAAATCAAATGCAATGGTGTCAGTACCACTAAGTGCTGCTTGAATTCATGGAAATTGCATACAAAAGAGTGGACGTTGGAGGCCAAAATGGTGATATGCAATTCCCCAGTGATACTCTGTTGACACCAAAAAACTTATAAATATAGTGTACTGTGCATATGTTAACTACTGTTGTGATTTATCTTCAAAAAACAGATTATTSATTTTTTAACTTCTTAAATATTCAGTCATTATTGTGACAATCAGTCATTCCAGCAGTATTTAAGAGAACCAATAACTCCCAAGACAAAAAAAAATCAGACAAATTTGTGATTGATCATTCCAATATATAAGAGAAGCAAATTGCTCCCAAGACTCAAATAAATAAGTCAAATTTGTGATTGGTCATTCCAAAATGTATGAGAACAACCTAGTAAATGCTCCTCCCATGACTGAAAAATTCAGTAATTATTGTGATCAGCCATTCAGACATTAAAAAGTTTCCAACAACAATAAAAATGGACAACTTTTTAGCCATAGTTATGGCTATGACAGGCACAGTGATTCACCAACCAATGCCTTGTTTGATAAGTTTGAGTCCTACAAAACATACTGCCAGCAGTTCCTCTCCAGCAAGAAGTTGGAGAAGAGCATCACATGACAGCATGGAAATACCAATGCCAACATTGACAGCCTCTACAACAACATTTTGCCACCAGCAAATGGGGCGACTACTACACAATGAGGAGTCGTTGTCATGATTGGTCATAGAGAATCCCATTCCCAAGACTCTATAAATTCTGGCACAAGCCATACAACCATCAAAGCAGAAGTGGGAAAAACCCCACCAAGAATTGCCAAAAAAATACATGAGCATTACATAATGTCTGTGTTACTATTTTTAAAAATAACTAGAAATATTTAATGTTGTGAACTAGCAGAAGCATTAGGGAAGCTAGAGCCATCACTTCTTGCTGGTGGTGGTAGAAGGTTCCTTCTGCTACTAGTACTACTACTAGTAGTTGCTGTGAGGGATGGGACTCCTGGAGAAGGATGACTGGGTAGGACATAGTATGTAATATTAAGGTATGCTGGAATGATTTGGAGTATAGTTGTCTCTTTTGGGAGTATGTATCAAAGACCAGCAATGTATCTTGAGTGACACTCTCCAGTGGTTTTTTCTTGAAATTAGTAGTCAGCAATAGAGGGAAGAAGTACTGAGGAATCAGATTGGTATTGGTAGTAGATATTTGCATAATCTACTAAAATACTCCTCTAGATTTTGATCATAAACTCTAGTAGTAGTAGTAGTAGTAGTAGTAGTAGTAGTAGTAGTAGTAGTAGTAGTAGTAGTAGTAGTAGTAGTAGTAGTAGTAGTAGTAGTAGTAGTA